CACACACACACACACACACACACACACACACACACACACACACATACAATTGATTGACAACCATTAAATGTAATTTATTTTTGCATGACATAAAAAGGTAAAAGAAGGAAGAAAAGTTTTTTTCTCTTTTTCTTTTCTTTTCTTTTCTTACAGTCAATAGCACAATCTTCAGTAATGCTGCCAAAACACTGAAGGAGACGGGGGAACCAGACACCACGTTCACCGCATCCCAGCACCGACAACAGACGCAACTCGGCCTGAAAATTCGTCAGCAGTGAATCACAAGAAAAGTGCCTCACATAACGAATGCAGCTGTGTTTGTTTTAGGGCGTCGTCTTGATCTAAAATCAGTACTTTGGTTCACATGTCACTTCTTATCTCATGTGCAGGTTTTATCAATCAACTTTTTTTTTGATTAAAGCATTTTTTTAAAGAGTTTTTGTTTGTTCTGGCGTTTGGTCATTTTATTTCATGTAGGGTTTTCAAAAAGGTTAAATATTTACTAGACTACAGCCTTAAAAAATGTGTTGTGTTTTGGAGTTTTTCTGGAATTAACATGTTTGTGGGACCTGTTAATTTAAAATATTTAAATGATTGAACACCCTTTGTTCTGTTTCTCTGCTTTTTTGGGGATGCCTTTTTATATTTCACGGGGAAAAAAACCAACAACCTTCGCTCTTTTTTGCTCCCCTTGTTACTTATTCTACAAATAAAATCTGCATTTGAGAATTTAAACATGATGCACTGTAGGCAACAACTTTTCTACTTAAATAATACTCTTGAGCACTTCACAGATGCACGTAACGCTTGTATTCACGACCACCAAGTATACACCAAAAATAGTACATTTTCTGACAATTTGTGACTGATGAAACTGGCACTTCTTTTTATTAGTGGGCCGAGTATTATTCTCACATAAATCACCATGTTACATTCTTTTAACAATTTCTTGTTGCTTTTTTAGCCTGTACTGTCATTGCACTGCATGTTGTCCAATATCACTGAGCTGCTTTTATTTCCTTTGTTGCCTTTTTAGAACAAACTGTGAACGTGTTGCACTTCATGTGTTCAGATTTGAAGTTAAAGTCATGCCCGTAAGAAATTAAAGAAAAATTTGAGTGTTATGGGCTGATTTAATATGTATATTGTATATGCTATTGAATAAATAAGTCTGTTTTAAATCAATGCTTTTGGTGAAATATTTGTTGAAAATCAGCAGATTATATAAAAATATGAATTGTTTTGAGTTATTTTCAAAATGATCTTGTGTTTGTCCTCTAAAGCTGCTGAATTAAAGTCATAAATTCAAACGTGGCGAATGGTTGAACATTCCTCCCCTGACATCTTTTTTTTCCCCACAAATCCATTATTTCTTTCCACAACCACGTCCCAGTGTCCTTTAAGGTGTTTTTCAGTGTAACTTCAAAGGTCTAAAGATACCTTCAAGTCTAATTATTGAGTTAGAAGATGCTGAGATTTTTCTTGCAATGATTTTAGGGATCAGCCTTCATGTTTAAATGAAGTCATCTGAGGACATCTTACTGCATTATCATGAACCGTTAATGTTTTATTGTACAAACAATTTGGACATTTCCCTTTCTTCAAAAGAAAAGGGAAAATTTATTCAACATATCAAGTTTGTCAACTTAAATGATGCTCAGTTAAAAAAAAAACTAAAAACTTTCAAATACAATTTCTGTTTTCAACAATCGTTGTTTTGTATTATTATATAAATACATTTGGCAAGCAAACATTTTTTTACCCTCCATATTTTTGCATTTCCATTGTTCAGAATATACAAGATTTGAAAAAAAAAGTCATTTATTAAAGTGCACAATAGCTCTTAGTATCATTTATGTACAGGTTACATGATTGTTTAAATAGTGCATCAATTAAACACAAATTTGAAACGTGCAAAAACGTATTTAACATGGCTTTAAGTTATTTTGGTTAAATATTTGACAAAGAAGTAAAATAAACTACGCAAAACTTTGATTTCAACATCTACAATATAAATAGCCTTCAACAATAAAACTACAAGCTGTCATAAGATGACACAGTAAAATATTCCTGCAATTGTTTTTAAATAAAATTATGACTTGTAAAATTCATGATGAAGGAGCGGAACTGATTTTTATTGTAGAGGCCTTGTATCGGGCCTGTTCCGCGGTTCTCTTTCAGAACCAACAGGGTTTAATAAATAAAAAAAATAATAGTAAAGTCTTATTAGTAAAAATAAAATAAATGCAGGTTAATGCGGCAGGGCCTCCAGGAAAGCACAGACCTCCGTGTGTCCGCTCTGCCGGGCCACATCAGCAGGCAGCCGGTTGTTATTGTCCTTGACCCGCGGCTCGGCCCCAGCCTCCACCAGGAGCCGAACCGTCTCCAGGAAGCCCGTCTGGGCCGCGTCGTGCAGCGGCGTGTTCCCGGTGCTGCTGTCCGCCACGTTCGGGTTTGCTCCGCGCTGCAGCAAGAGCTGGGCCACCGGAGAGCTGCCCATCATCATCACCTTCATCACAACAACACAGATGTTCAGGCGCATGAGAAGATAGTTCCTCTTTATTTTCAAAAACATTAATTTGTGGAATTGTAGCCTAAGCTATAAGATGGTTATGGGTAATAATAATAA